ACGAATGGAAAGGACATGATGGAGGAATATTTTATTTTACCCATGAGCAAATAAAACCTTTCCTATGCGCGAGCGGGGAAGTAGGCATGTGACGTGCATAGAACATCCTTATGTGCACAAAATAACATTCAAAATAACAAAATACACAAAATAAAATTCACACCTAGGCATTAATCGTTGTTGAACAAATATTTCAGTTTATTTCACTGACAAATACACATAATAGGCACACCAATCGACACAGCTCAACCTTCCAAACACACATAGCCCTCCCATTAAAAACAAGAGCAAATACACTGGTATAGTGATTCACATGTAGTAAACAATATTTGGATCATGATAATTATTCAGATCATGTGTTATTATTGGGCTTATATCCTTTTAAATGGCGGTAAACTGAACAAAAATAGCTTCTTAGCAAAGAGCAATTTCTCAAGATGAATTTTGCTACAACTGTCTGGGAGTGGTATGAGTTGGGAGGGGGAAACTGAAAACTAGCTATTGGCATGATGTCACCAGGCAGGCCAAAACTCCATCCCACCAAAACAGGCAGAGATTTCAAGCGGTATTTTCAAACAGCTCTTACACTTAAAGGGCATTATCACACTCTAAAAATGCTGAGTTGTTTGGATGACCCATTTGCTGGGTTGAAGGCATTTGGCCACTTAGTTGAGTTGTTTTCTTTAATAAGAGCAACGTTGGGTTGTTGATGCTGTGTTATTGAGGTATGACCCAGTGAGCCAAATCCACTGAGTGGAATTACTTTTCTATGGACAAATGGGCAAGCCGTTGTGGCTGACCGTAAAAAGTAAAAAGCTAACGTAAGTAATTATCCATTCAGGATAAATAGACCTAGCTATCATAATTACATTCTGTATTATCTCAGTCATTGACAATTTTAGAACATTTTAGCTAGCAAGCTAACTAGCTATCAAACAACCCCATGCATGCTAGCCCAAGCTTAAGCTAGCTAGCTACTTAGCTAATGTTTGCTAACTTAGCTGGCTAGCTAGCTAGCTAACAAGCTATTTTCCTGTGTTCTGTGTGGTACCAAATGTAAGGTTTTTGTTTAAGTTTAGCTAGCTATGTCAGTGCCTGTAGAACGCGTGTCTTCTATAGGCCTACTGTGTGGCGCATTGTTCCACGTCAGGTAGCTAGTTAGCTTAAACTAGGTTGCTCACTCTGTTTGGCTAGCTAGACCAGCTAGCTATATATTTTACATAGCTAGGCCTATTCCCTGTCGCTGAGTTAATTTAACATGGTTGGTAGCTAGTTAGCAAGCTTATAACTCATGCTTTTATGGTGGTTCAATTAGGCTACTGTATGGCTTTTAGCCTAATTCTTTCTATGAGTTAGCTTGCTGGTCTCAGTCTGGATGCACACAGTTACTTTAGGTAGCTATAGCTAGCTAGCTACATATTGAAATGAAAATGTCTCAATTGTTCATCCAAGTTTAGTCTATCCATTTTGACTCTCCACTTAAACCTTGGTATGTCTTTGTCCAACAGATAGGCTACTAAAGGCCCTGAGAGTGTTTTTCCCACCATCAGTGTACCTGGTGCAGGTAGCTAGCTACATATTTAAATTAAAGTAGTCTCAAATGTTCATCCACGTTTAACCATTTTGACTGTCCCCTAAAACCTTGTTATGTCTTTGTTCCCCAGATACTAAAGAAGACATTTACATTACATTTACGTCATTTAGCAGACGCTCTTATCCAGAGCGACTTACAAATAGGTGCATTCACCTTATAGCCAGTGGGATAACCACTTTACAATGTTTTTTTTTTTTTTTTGGGGGGGTTGGAGTAAAGGGGGGAGGGGGTAGAAGGATTACTTTATCCTATCCCAGGTATTCCTTAAAGAGGTGGGGTTTCAAATGTCTCCGGAAGGTGGTTAAGACATGGTCCTAAAAGAGTTTCTCCCAACACCAGTGTAAAAAATTGGAAAGAAGACGCACAATGTTTCTGGACTCAACTCAATGCAGATGAACCTCTTGCACACAGCAATAGACTGTATGTGAGTATAGCATGTTCTGAACAATAGGAAAGGCCACCATTTGTGTGTGTTTGTGTGTGTGTGTGCACGCGTTGGCTTGTGCAAAGTGTCATGTGTGTCTTATTGTTCAACATTTTATAATCATATTCTCTAATCCCCAGGTTGAAACCAATATGGCAGAATATCTCTGCCAGGCGACCAAAAGAACAAGAACAAGAGACCTGAACCCTTCGTTCTGACTCTCGGGGACAATCGCCTCTACTCCCTGGCATTCACCATCATGAATGGGCAGGCTCTGGATCAGAAGACATTATGTTTTGTTGTTGTTGTTTTACATAAATTCATGTTGAAAATGTATATCTGGTAGGGGTTGGGGGAGTAGAGGGTAAAGTTGTTACTTTTCTTCAGCCCCATTCCTCAGCTTTAATTGGTAGGGCTGCTGTGATTTTCAAATGATGCATTGTGCTTCTAAAATGTTTGTTTATTTGTGTGTTCCTTATTTGTTGTTTATCTTTTGCATGACTTCATTTGGTAGCTGAAATTAATAGCTGAAAATAAACATTTTGTATTTTATCTACAAATTGTCATGATTTGCCATTTGTCATTTAAATATGTATTGTTAGAACTATTCTTACTTATAAAAAAGTAGCTGATTCTGTAATAGAGAGAAGGTAGAAAATAACCTAGCAACAAAGTAAGAAATAAACCACTGCTTGGTAAAAAAAATACATGAATAACAATAACCCAGCAAAAGAGTAAAAAGCAAAATAACAACATTTTGGGGTAAATCAAGTAACCCCAACGTATTGGGTCATTCACATAACCCAACGGTGCTTGGTCAAAATAACCCAGTGCTGGGTATGTACTATAGTGACCCAGCGCTGGGTTAAACATTTTTTAGAGTGCATAATTTTCACAACTTCACAGTATTATTTGAACCTCATAGTGTGAAAATATATATAAAACACAGAATCACGTTCATGGAAATGTGTCCTTAAATGTCCAAATTCAAGTGCTTTAGCAACCACTCGTATATTTTTGCATCAGTTTGAAATAAACCTACAAGACGTGCACGTCTGAGAATAATTAATTATCATGTCTCGTGGTGAAATTATATAAATAAAGAGGTTGGATTGCCCCTTTCATTATATAGCGGCATAGCCAACACACAGCAATAACAACACGCGCCCACTGCTTTGTTTTAGCACTAGGCCCTAGTTGCTAAACCTGGTAGACTACTGTTTGTAGATGTCCTTGTATTACCTTAGTAATTGTAATATCAAACGTATTGAGCACGAACATATTCGAGTAGAAAAATACTACACATACGCCTTATGGATAGGCGTTTTCATAGGACTTTGGCAGGAAAAACTATGCGCATCTTTTTGATATTGTTGTGTTGACTCAAAATATATATATATGGAAACACAATAATGTTAAACCGTCCTGCATCCATACCTTTCTTTGACTCGTGGCTCATACATTTTAACCTCAAAACAAAATGGGAATAGGCATACAAAAAAGATTAATTGAAAAATGTAATGTTCTTTTTGTTTTGGATTATTAATCTCAGAAAATGTGAACTGCTGTCCTTGCTGGAAAACAAGATTATCATTATGCAACGATTTACATGCTAGAACGTTATTGTCATGGGGAAACAAAGTATATTTTTGCAATGGATTTAAAAATGTCTTAGTCAAAGCTTCAGTTAGTAAGACGTGTAAAAACGCACACAGAAATGTCTGCTTGATTTGATTTGTTAATGACATGGAATTGTCTACATGGAATTACACTCGATATTTGTCAGAGAAATTGGGAATAATTGTATCTTCAAAAATCAAATTACACGTGGCGTACGCCCGTGTATATTTGTCTCCCTCAAATTGAAGTCACGCCTGCATGATATGAATTAAATATCCTATTACGCACGAGTTGGAGTTGGAAAGAAAGGACCATAACTATAATAGCTTAATCCTTCTTATAATTCTGAACGTAAAGAGAAAGGCAGGTTTTCCAAACAACCATTCTGTATAGGCCCATGATAAATTCTAGATGCATCATAGAAACCATATTCAATTTAATCTTCTAACTTTTGGTGATTCTTTTTTGTAACTAGGTCTAATATACATATTTGCTGAAACGATCTGCGCACATCAACACTGGTGGAGCTTTAAAAAAAAACACCGAGTAGCCTATAGGCCTTTATACAGTAAAACATATAAAATAAACTATATACTGTGTTACTAGACTATACATAGTCAAAAATATACTCTGGCATACTCAAATTGGTTAACCTTTTAAATAGATTTTAATAAAACAAATGTTCTTATGCAACTGCTGGTGCCACAACGACTAGCTACAGTGATTTGATTGAGGCCTGTACGTTAGTCTAAGGCAAACAGTCTAAAGTTATTTCTACCTCTTATGAAAATCAGTTTGCAAAATAAACGTAGGCCTACCCGAGAGTGGTGCTGGTATATTCTACGCGTCCATTGGTTTATTTCTGAATCTATTGACGAATACCTAGAAAAACGAAATGGCTTTCCTCGTGGCATCGAACAAGCTCCAATAAATAATCATATTTATCGAACTATTTGCTCTGTCTTGTTTTCATGTTATCTTGTCTTAACAATTACTTTTTGAACTAGATTTCATTTCGGCTATACCCAAGTAACTGATAGTAAAATATTTTGTCTACCCCTTTGTTCCGTCCTTCTGTGGCTGTCTTTACCCAAAGCTCTCCGCTAGATGGCGCCCTTGCACCGTGCAAAAGCCCCTTTGCGTTCCAATTTGACCGCGCTGACGTCACCCCAGTCTTGCGCTTCAAGGCCTCTTCCACGCCGCTATTGGTCTGAAAATCACATGACATGGAGCTCCAAGAATCCATAATTATGTTGCTGATATTTTTGGCCCCCAAAATATGTCAGCCTCCTACTGTCCTTATTCTTCTCCAGAAAACCTTTACTACAGGAACACAAACGAACAAAACCAACAATACAAATAATGTCATGCCAGGATAACATGGCTGCCGGTCATTTCCTTATGGATTCTTTGATGGGAGGATCATCTTCCTATAGAGGCGAAGGCTACTCCAGCAGCAACCCTGGAATGTACATCCCCTCGGCTGCATCTGAGTATGAATGCTCAATGATGAGACATTTTGGAGTAGTTGGATCGTCCATCTCCAAAAAAGACGAGGTTCCTGTGAGTAGCCACCCTCTCGGCTCCTACCAAGAAGCGCCTTACCTGTCATCCCAACTGGGCACATGGACCTGGACTTCCAAAACTAACAGGGATGAGCAACCTGTTGCCCAGTCCAGTTTACAACCGTGTTCGTTGCCAACCGATAACGTCAAAGAGGAGGCGTTCTGTTGTCTGTATCAGGGTGACAGTAGCAGCAGGACTAATAAGGACACTACAGAATCGGCTACTTACATCCGGCTTGGGAACAATAGTAGCAGCCAGACCGGCCAAACCGCTGTCTCGGCGGCGTCCGAATGTTATGGAGGAGAGAGACAGGTATACCCCGGAGGGATCAGGGGACAGCGGGAAAAGCAGGTCGGGACAGGCTTTGCTTCTTTAGACCAGGTGACGAGATCTGTTGAATCACCCAGAGAATCAACGGTTAAAATGAGCAAATCTACCCAGGAGACAGTCAGCGAGGAAATGGGCATCGAAGAGGCAGAACAGCGAATGAGCAAGAAAGAGGAAAGTGCAAAGACTGACAGTTGTTCTGATATCTCCGACAGCGAATTGAAAGGTAACCCAAAAAGCAACCCCCCTCCATCTTCCCTCCTCGCTCTCTCTCTCTCTCTCTCTCTCTCTCTCTCTCTCTCTCTCTCTCTCTCTCTCTCTCTCTCTCTCTCTCTCTCTCTCTCTCTCTCTCTCTCACACACACACACACATAGTGCAGTGTACTTAAAATCGTACCATAAAACCTTTGTGAGATACAATGTGGCAATACTAAAAATTGTATTCTAAAAATGGTCTCATCTGCATGCATGAACTAAGCGTCAGTGGGCGTTTTGATATTCTGGAATTGTGTATGCTATATCTACTGTACACTCTTAGAAAAAAATGTATGTTTAAAAAGGGTTCTATGCTTGTTTCATATATGGCACCCCTTAAGGTTCTATATAGAACCGAAATTGGTTCAGTGAAGAAGAAGCCCTGGGGTTCTGTTCAAAGCACCCTACAAAAGGGTTCTATATAGAACCTTTAGGGGTGCCATATATGAAGCAAGCAATAGAATCCTTTTTGGTTCTATCCAGAACCTTTTGGAGACATTCTGAACAGGCATTTAACCGTCTAGCCTCGCAGGGGTTACTGTGGCGACGGCATTTATCACCTTTCTATTAATGTGAGAATGTGAAATGGGCCGTTATCATTGAAATAAACACGCTCACACACTCATAACGCATAACGCGCGTGCACAGTCAAACAGATTGAGCAGACAAACACACACACACACACACATACACACACACACACACACACACACACACACACACACACGCGCTACATGGGCCATTTAAAATGTATAAAGAAGGCCTAACCATTTGTAACAACATCATTTTACGCACCATAATGGTGTAATTACATACGTTAGGCTATATCCTACGTTTTATAAAGCAGAATACAGCTTAGACTATACATAACGTCTCAATTTCGATAATGACTGTTTGGTAAAACAGCCTACGATAGACGTAGTCTGAAATAGCATCCACGAAATTGTCTTTACTTGAAAATTAAACTATTAAATCTAATTTTATTTACATGAAAATCATCTTGCATATAAAATACATTTTCTTATAATGACAATGGGGTTTAGCTATCTACAGACAAGTACTGGATTCAAACGTCATGCTAGTTATTATATTCCCTTTTTATTTTTCTAATAATAGAGGATAACGGGTGGATAACCCACAGTTTTCCACACGGACAATGTTGTGTGTATATCCAAAATGATTTAAATGAAAGGTAAAGGGTGAATACATATATTATTAACGAATTATCAATGTGATATTGTTATAATATTATTATTGTTATTATTATTAATAATACAAATAGTATATTGCTTGGTTACATTGTGTATTTGTATTAGCTAACACCATGGAATTCAGTTGAGTAGAGTTCAAGTTTGCCAAAAACGAATTTCTATTTGCTGCTGCATAATGTTAAACTCTCCCTCGTTTGTCTTATAAAACCGTTAGTCAGTCCAGTCTCGGCTACATATTTTGGGGTAGAGCTATATTTGTATGCACCACACAAAATGCTACTTTCAACGGCCACAATGTAGCCGCCTACCATTTAGTATTTGGCCAGGCTTTGGAAAGGAAATAAAAACCACTGATGATCCAGAGATGACACTCTCATATTCTGCTCAATGTTAAATTCATCAATCGTTTCAAAATGTTGGAAATATCTAGGCCTAAGAAATTCGAAGCTGGGAACTAACCATGCATGTTATCCGTGTACCCTGTAATATACGTAACCAAGTACGGGCTATGCAGCAATTTCCAATCTATCTCCAGTTTCCGTGTAGGGTAGCCTCAAACCACAATAAGGCTATAATGGCTGTGTTTATTGCTATAGACCAGTAACAAAAGTGGGTCGGATGTAGAATTGCTGCACAACGAATAGGCCTATACATTATGTTTCATCATTCATCAAGTCTTTTTTTGCATTTTGCATTTTCATTCAAAGCGTTCGAAGAATGTCGACAAAAATAGATTATTGAATGTACATTCGAAATAAAGATTGTCAAGGACAGTCCAGACATTGCGGTGCGGCATTGCAGACCTGACGCAGACCAATTGGAATGCAATAGGCTTAATATAGACTGTCTTGAACATGGAAGTAGTCCTTCAGTATGCTCACCTTTTCCATGTTTTATGTCTACAGATGATTTTACATTGGAAAATGCTCCAGGAAACTGGTTAAAAGCCAAAAGTGGACGGAAGAAGAGATGCCCATACACAAAGCATCAGACGCTCGAGCTGGAAAAGGAATTCTTGTATAACATGTACCTGTCTCGCGAGCGCCGCCTGGAGATCAGTAAGAGTATCGATCTGACCGATAGACAGGTCAAGATCTGGTTCCAGAACCGAAGGATGAAGCTCAAGAAACTCAATAGGGAATGTCGTGGTCGGGATCATACGGCAGTCCACAACTTCACCTGAAATTATATTATATATAAAACCATTCCATATACACCCAAACACACACACACACATACACACACACACACACACACACACACACACACACACACACGCACACACACACAAAGTGTGCCTTCATACAAGAGCAATATTTCAGCGATGCCCAAGAGTACTTTATGAAGGAGGGACTTGATTTTTCGGTCAGCACTTGAGTTTGACTTTCAACACATGAACATTCAATAGAGGTGCCGTTGCCCTGCCATATAAAGCAACATAGAACTGCTGTAATGAAAACAGACTTTGTTTGTTTTGGAATGTTCCCTCATTCCTTTGCTTCATCTTGTTGTCTTTAGTTTAGTTGCTTTTGCTATGTAGGCTATGATAGGCTATTCGCACTGTTTGCATGCACATTGTTGCTTGCGTCATATTAGACCCGTTGACGATTCCTAAAGGAAAACTGGTCCAATAGAATAAAGGAGGGGATTTGAAAAGAAAGATATAACATATAGTTTGTCCTACCCGTTATTATTATTTTAGCACTCTGAGAAAGAAAAAGACCGAGGGAAGGAGAGAGAGGCTGCAGATGAGAGTGGGAAGATCACGGTGGTTTAATAGAAGAGATTGGTTTAAATACTATCCAGGTGACCACAGTAAGTCAAGGTCATAAAATTATTATGTCAGGTTCGTCTCGTGGTAGAAGCACGAGCTCGGGGTGGATTTTATGATCTGCAAATATAATGTGCTAGCTGGCTGCTGCAGTAAAGATGCATCGTTTAAACGTGTGTGGAGGAGAGGGCTAGTCTACACAGTGGAGAGTGTCTGCTAAGTACTGGATTCACCAACGCGGTCGACGGGCTCCCACTGCTATGTAGCCTGTCGCATTCTTATTTGAGGATACTGGACCGTTATCTCGTCAGGAAACGAAAGGGTTGGATGATAAACAACAAAAACAAAAACATCAAGGACAGCATGAATAAATAAGGACCACCACGACAGAGTGTCTGCGCGGAAATTCAAGGTAGGACACAAATAGGTATGTATTATTAACTTGGCTGTGATTTTGAGATGTCACGCCTGTCTGCCGGTTGGTCTGCCAATGGAGCTTGTTTGACAGCGCTCTCGAGCATGCGAGATGGGATGGGTTGTCTGATCAATGCGATTGATTTGACGTTCTTCTTTTGGTAACATTTTGAGCATTTTGAACCAGACATTGGTCTTGTTATTGCTGCTACTGGTGTTGATATCGATTATGTAAACTATGTCTAAAGAGCTTTCCCATTATTAGTTGAGCATTTTCAGACACCATTTGTTATTATTTTGCGGTATAACAGTAAGCTATTTCAAAGTCCTAATTTGCTGGTGATGCTCAATATTGTACACGATTAGCCTATTTAGGATGACAGTGACAGTAATATAATACATTCGGAAGAACGATTCCTATTTGTTTCATTATGCTGGTAATAGCTATGTTATGGTTGACAGACAATAAAATCCTTACTTGGCTTTGAGTGTTTTGCTGTTTGTTTGTCTCCCTTCCTGATGGAACACCCCGTCTCGCGCAGCTGAAGCGTGGTTTAGGTAGTTTCATGTTGTTGGGATTCGCTTCCTGGCTCGGCAACAAGAAACTGCCTTGATTACGTCAGTTCGTCTTCATCAAGGGCGACACTTTCCGTTAAATTACACCCTAGGCTCTGACTGAAGTCCTCGCAAATGGCATTGTAAATGAACTGGAGCTGTAATAGCCGGGATACTTGTTCTCCCCGGCTCTCATGTTTGTGACGGGCTGTAAAACGTACTTTAGCTTCTCATAGAGAGAATGGGTTGTAAACAACATGGGGTAGACGTTAGACCGCTTTTGTTGCCTTTTCATTTTGTTACTGGTTTTTTCTTAGATATCCCTGATGATGGTTTTGTTTGGGTTTAATTTCTTCCATCATAATATGATTCGCATATCCTTTACATATGAAGAGTGCATTGAGCTATAGGCCCGTTAGCAACATTGCCAAATATTAACTGAATGTATTTTAATTTTCCCTCAAATGTGTACAATGTTATTGGCCTTATATTTGACATAAATAATGTATATTGTCGTCATGTAGGATATTCAATCCTCTTCTGTATAGAAGTTGTACATATACCAGTATTTCTCTGATTGTGGTACGTGTGTGATTGCGCTAACTGAATGGACCTTTGAATATCCCTCTAATTTTGCTGACCTATAATGCATTTGCAACCTCTTCGAATCAAGGGGAAATGACTCCATTGTCAAATTATATTTCAGATGACACATTTGATTGTTTCCGTTTCCTCAACTTTCTCAAATGACAAAACGTAGGCTATCCATCGTATCTGAAAACGAGGTTAATCTAGGTCCACATGACTGACCCAAATGACAAGACGTGGCCGAGGAAAAGCAACAGTTTGTTGTATTTATAATACACAACACAATTCTTTCACGTTTAGTCAACAACGTTTTTTCATATGGCACAGTCAAAGTCCCCTCTCTTCCATTGAAGAGCATGTGTTTATATCTGTTCGCCATTTTGCCTTGTTATATCAACCCCCCTTCTCACAGAAGTAAGTGCATCTAACAGAGACAGTCTGGAATCCAAAGTCATTTTCATTCAGTTCAGTGAATAGATGTCTCGCTCTGGACTGCACCACTGACAAATAATTTCCAGCACTCGAATTGACACCCAGACTGTGCGAACTCGTACTAGTGCACTTTTACGCACTGCAATTACGCACGAAAATGTAACCAGGTATTTTTAATAAAGGTTCACATTACATGGACAATGACGTTGCCTCTTTTGTAGACAGGTTATACGGCATTTGAACAACGCATTTGACCATCTTAAAACAGGTGGGGCGCGGAAGGAGAAAATAAGGGAATGGCTAGGCTATTGGATGAATCTGTCAATATAACGCAAGGCTTTACAGTCCAGTATCTGTGTGTCTGCAGTGTAACTGAGCGGCTTTATTATCTTCATAAAGGCTAACTCATTGTCACCACCATCCGCGTGTTTGAGTATATGTATAATGCAGGCTAATATAAATAAGGCTGGTTCATCATGAAACTGTGTCGTGAGAGCGCGCATAGACTACACCCATGTTCCATCCCTGGCTATCACTGACAGTTGTGTCATGGTGAAACAAAATGTGTGCATGATTACTGCTATATGTAAATAGGCCTACCCGGAGGTATCCGATACCAGATTAGAGCATTTTCAGAGGGCCTATATTATGACACTAAAATAAAATAAAATGTTATTGGTCAGTACACATATTTTGCAGATATTATCACAGGTGCAGCAAAATGATTGTTTCTAGCTCCAACAGTGCAGTAATACCTAACAATAGAAAACAATACACACAAATCACCCAAAAATTTAAAGAAAGAAATGAAGAAATATCAGAACGAGCAATGTCAGAGTCCGGAATATTATATATATATATATATATATATATATATATAGGCTATACAATATATGAATAGAAAAGGTGTGTACAGCAGTAGTTATATAGGATGAGCCTGACTAGAATACAGGATATACATATGAAGTGGGTAAAAAAGTATGTAAACATAAATGGTTTAGCACAGTGGCAAGTATACTAGTCTTTGCGTTTGTGTGTGTCCGTGCGTAACCTATAAATTGTACCATTGGCAGTTGTTCATTTTCTATATTGTCGTATAGCATCAGAATTATGAGGAGTTAATACACTATACAGTCACTCTAGATCTTAAATTAGGCCTACACTGTAATGGAAAACTGTCATTTGTATTATCAACAGTAAAAAAAAAACTCTAAGATTTTACTGCAGCATACTCTAAATGATGGTACATTGTGGGAAAATTGCTGTATTTTGAATGGTACTGTAATTCCACACCACAAAATACAGGACCATACCATATCTTTGCAGCGCAAAACACTTTTTGACCACTAGTGGGTGCATAGTATTATTGTTTCTGGATCATTAACATATTTTGAGGCGTGCCTTGTAAAAGGCTATATTTGTTGCACCCCTGAGTGAGAATGCACTACCAATTTAACTCCTATGTGGTTATAATGCCCCATCATTTTAAATGTATAGGTGACATATTGGAGAGGCAGTTAGTCTTAAACCTTAAATGGTTGAGCATTTTGCCTTGTCTTTTTGGTCTGTTTTTCCCTGTAGTCACTGCCAGTTTGTTAAGGCCTCTAGAAGTGCAAATGTTATAAAACACCAAATATTAATTAATATACTGTACTGTGTAAACATTTACATAGCAGCCAACCAGCTTGCACCAATCCCTTGTAATTACTGTAAAATACTGTGAATTACAATTAATTTCATCCATTCATTCATTCTTTCCGATTATGGTAGCAATTACTTTTTTTTACAGTATAATACAGTACATTTTAGGGTATTGTACTGTGTGTCATTACACAGTTCTTGCTTTGAAACCGTATTTATATTACAATAGGTGTACTGTAATATTAAATATATCATTTTACTTGCCACCTAGCTACCTGTTAAATTCATGGTAACCCCTCTACAGTGTATGCCGGTGTCAAAAGAGGTGTTTCATTTGAATATGCATGAATCGAAACCCCTTCCATAAACTACAAGCAGGCACATTTGATTACTTCAGAAAAAAACAAATATTTATAATATTATGTTATAAAATATATTGAACATCACAAAAATCTATAATAATTAACTCCACAATGTTTGTCTTTAAAATGCATTTAAAATGAAGCTATCTAGACCCATAAGCAACTAGTAGCCTAGACATACCTCTCTTCAGAATGGATTCGTTTGTTATGCTAGTGCTTAAAGGCCCTTAAACTTGCATTCTGTCTGTCTTATGTGATCTGACACAGAGAGCGAAATTTGCCTAACGAAGCATTTGGCAATTCTACAAGTGGTCTGGGTTTCTCGTTAAGTAATGAATGAAATTAAGTGCTGCGTTGTATCGCTTTATAAACCTTTAGCAATATAAACGGTTTCAGTAAAAGCTCAATCAAACGACGGATCATATGATGCACTTAACAATTATAGTGCTACAAAGACTTTAGGGAACTACTAGCGAATCTTTTTTGGAAGTTATTACGTTTCTGTTATTTAGCAGAATAACAATATATTGTTCCCTGAATAGTTTCCAAATTGGAAGTTCCTTAATGTAGGAGTGCACGAAAATACACTGATAACTAGTTTGTAATGTAATATTTCCATAATTCGTTCGGGAATAATGTGAATTTTCAGATAAAACGTCCATCTATCTAGAATTGACACATTGAATGGAAAGATGATGATTTAACAGTCAAATTCTAGCTTGCAAGTTTATTTCCCTTAGTATTTATTTGAAACTGTATCATGAATTGACGATCTTTATGATATAGTATAGCTAGTATGTTTTGGGCATACTAGCCTATGTTTTGGACATACATGCTAAACATTTCCTTCGGACAAGATATTGATTGGCTGAAACATGCAGGTGCAAAAATATGCATGTCTAATACCCAGCTGTTGTAGCCTTTCTGAATAAAGAATTGAATCTGACTGCTAACAATATATTGCAGTCTGACCCCTCCACTGAGAGGAGAGCATATTTGGACGCCATTGTTGTCTACAGTGACAGTCTGCACCCTTTCATCTCCAGCAGTCCTCTCCCTATAGCCATGTTTGGTCAATTAATCCCAATGCCATTGCTCTAGACAAATATCAAACCACCAGTTGACGGTCAGTGTGTAAATGCACCATTTTGGAACATTTCCTTATATTGCATCCCAATACTGACAGACATTATAAAAATGACTGGAATTTGATAGAATAACGTTGTTAGAGACACGCATAACCTCACCCTAAAGTAGGACAGGCATAACATGTTCATAAAATCAGTTAGACTCTCTTAAGATTGTCATGCATACACAGGTTGAATTAAACGATTTGCCAATCCTAAGAACCAGATCAAATGATAATCAAATGAATGACTGACAATGATCAAGGTTCATGGTGAAGTGCGAACGAGCGCATTTGGGTTACACAACATACGCACAATAAAAGCATTGTGGTAAGATACACAACATATAAATAATAACTTGAATGAATCAAAAGTATAGGCTCTTCAATCAGGAGTTAGGTTAGGCTATATCATGGCGTATTCTATCAGTAGGCCTACCTAACACATAGGCTACACTGGCATCATAACAATAGCTTTCGTGATATGGCTACCACGCCAATATACTACTGACATGTTCAGAAGTTTGGAATCACGGTCAGGCGCAGAAACGTAGGCTAAATAACCAACCATAACGTAATATGAAAAACCAGGATACATAAATGTGATATTTTCTTTTTTATTATCAATAATCAACAGCACAATAAATACATCCAAATAATACAGCAGAATAATAACAAAATAGGAGTTTAAACATGCACACGTTAGTCAACAATGACATAATAATAATAATAATAATAATAATAATAATAATAATATTTGTCCCCTGATGTAATCATATTTGTTGTTAAATAATGCATTTCCATTCAATCAGCAATGCCAATACTAATATTTGTAGATTAATTTCATATCTGTGGGGCAAACAATACTAAACAAGACTCAAGCTGCTCTGTCTTAGACATAAGTGCATATATGAAATACATTCATGTAATTTCTACCAATAAAATGGTGAATCACTAAACAATAGCCTATACCTTTTTCCTATATTTGGACAATAATAAAGCTTGTGCATGAAGACGTTTGGTCAAAACGCGTTGCAGTGTGCGGACCGGCTGTAATATAACATGCGGATCCTACCTGTGTATAGTTTTGTTAATATAATGAATAGTTTACTATAGTTTCTCTGCATCATACTGGCCGCCTCTTTGTCTTTTCTGGTCCCTTATAAAGTCGCCATATGGCCGCATGGGTAAAGTTATAAAGCGTGTATTATGCTTTGGTTTGAAATACAGTATTACGGATAGATATATGTATGTCTGACTTTTAATGACAGATCACGTGGTCTATAATATTTATATTTAGGATTTAATGGGTTTGATATCAAGGGAAACCCCTAGGGGTAAAATAGGCTGGTGCCCTCATTGGGTCTGAATGGTAACTGCGTATCTATGGGAAAATAGCCATCGTTAGTGAGCACAAGGTTTATGGTATTTTATTTGAGCAAAATACTTTTTATTTGACTGTCTTGATATTCAGTTGCATCGTACTGATAAGAATATATGGATAACAGTTTTGATTAATCTTAACTATATTTTAAACATAAGTTATAACACAACCTTAAAATGCTTTTGCCTAACTTTGCAAGTCAAACAACGCCCTTCGTCACCACCATCCATAGTTATCTTTAACTACACAATCACTATAATTTTAACCTGGTGTTTAAATTTCATGGTTCAAAAGCTAAGGATGCTATACAGGCTGCCATATAAAGCTACGTTGTCATTGCAGGAAGTTCAAGTTATGCAATGAAATGAGATAATGAAATGAAATAAATAATCACATTTTTATGTCTAAGTTTGCATACCTTGATTCAGTTTAACGCAAAAACGAATGACCTCCCTTGCTATTTTAGGTCACCAAAGCAATGACTTCGAGACTTCACACTAGCAGTTGTTAAATAAAAAAATAAGACACAGCCGAAGATGCCATCTTGACGAATCTAATAAAAATCAACTATTCAATAATAAGATTTGAGATAATAGGCTATGTCTATTTATTTATTTTTTGACAGCAACATTGTGGATTAGTGGTCTGTCTTATATTCGTGTGGACAATAAAAACTCAAATTGAATAGCATGCATTCGACGAACTGCAAAATGTATCACCAATGTCAACCCTTACCATCTCTACCCACTATCTTCGTTAAATGTGCTTGTGGAGTCAATTATTGCAGCAAATCTGAATCAGCCTTATATAGATAGCCTTATATAGATAGGCCTGGCTGAGATGAGAAGGACACATTTTAAAATGCACATTTTGTAGGATATTGTTAGCCGTAGAATATCCACATACTTCTTCTCTGTTGGCATAAATTACAACAAAAAGGCTTATTCTGGGATCAGAGATTAGCTAATACCATATTAGTTTTACAAAACAAGAAAGTTTATTCATCTTGCTGCAAGCCTTCATCTCTAGCCTGATTTTTCCTTGAACCAATACCTCCTCTCCACGGCAGCATATCGTCCCTCAGTCCCTGTCGTTGCTGTCCGTCCTCAGCGTTCCAGTTTGATGGGACTTGTCTCACATGGACAGTGTTGCTTTTATGTTAAGATAGGAACTCGACTGCAGTTTTATTAACGACACGTTCATGAACAATCAAATGGTCCTCATAAACATTTATTGAAGGACATAAAAACATGCACGGCCGGCCACTTGCCGAATATAACAGCTGTAGTGTGCAAAGTTTCAAGCATCATAGTAGGTATTTCTCCTCTTTATATCTAAAGCATACAAACCCAATTTGGGGGAAAAATATCCAAATTATCCCAATTTGTAGTGCGTGCAAACTTTTTCTTGATCATATATTACATAGCCTATATTACAATATTGTAGACTATCCAATATTATCCAGGCGGCTCATTGTAAAATAAAAAAGTAAAGTAACAATCTTTTCCCGATAAAAAATGGAATACCGTTATACAATGAAAAACGCAAAATAATAAAACGCCTTATGTGTTAGAGAGTGAGTTTAATGATCTATTTTACTGCTGAACTGTGTCTATACGCGCATAAAGCTGGACTACATAGATTACGCACACTAGACAGAGATTGATTACATCAACAAATAGTGCCTGCGATGTCAAACCTAGCCAACCCCAGCCTGTTTTACGACATATTCTACTATTTTTTCTGATATTTTATCAACGTCAGAATAGAATACTGTTGAATTTACCTATAATGCATCCAGGGAAAAACATCTGAATATGATTCTATAATACATTTATTGTGTAACGCTATGATAACTCGCGCATTGATCCACTGTGCAATTTTTGTGGGGGTAAATATAATCACGTGTTGCTAAGGCAGCCAATAGCAGCTGGGGAAGCTTTGAGAAATAATTACCTGCGTTGATTGTTCTATGGGTAGATTTTTAAAAAAAAAGTACACACACTCCTTATAATAATCGGATGCATGTAAAAGAGAACGGAACCATCGACATGTCGACCACGAGTCCCATATGTAATTATTATGTGGATTCATTGATACACCATGAAAGCGAGGATGTTCTTGCGGCTCGATTCTCGGCTCCTGGTTCGCACCCCACCGGCCCTCGTCCGACGTCCCTTGTACCGGAGTGTGGTGACTATCCCTCCTGCAGCTTTTCCCCGAAACCACCCGTGTTTACTACCTCTTGGGCCCCTGTTCACTCCCAGTCCTCAGTGGTTTACCACCCATACAGCCACCAACCTCATTTAGGAACGGACTCAAGGTATGTACGGTCATGGCTAGAGCCGATCTCGGGGGCCATGTCCTTCCCTGGCTACCCAGCCAACGGCAGACACTATGGGCTGAAGCCCGACGCCTTCCAGGAGCATCGAGCCGGTGACTGCCTCTCCTCCAACGGACGCACCTACACGGATTATCTCTACTGCACCTCCGCTGACATTCGAGAAAAGAACCAAACGAACATCCCTTCTCCCGAGACCGAGCTTTTGGCTTCCGGAAAGCATAAAGACGAGAAGCCAGAAATAGATCCGAGTAAGTTCAAGCCCCTTGTTTTACAACCGGGAATGGGGGGTTGTTTGGATGAGATTCTGTCTGTGTTAATTGCGTTTGATTTAAAGCTGGGCTATAGTGTCTCTTTCCCATAATATGCTCTTTCATCCCTCTTTTCTTTCCTCGACTGAATCTTCTCTGCTAGGGGGCTACCTTGTGGAACTATAAAGAGACAAACGGTAGTAGGATTGGGCTATAAAACGACGAGCGGGTTATAAAATGGGACTCGAAAAACAAGTCTAATACTATGGACGTTGTGAATTTAGAGGGACACTGAATGCAACATGCTCGCCTCTCAAGCAAATATGTAGCCTATTTTATGTGCTAAATACTTTTTACGCATGAATTGGGACTCCCTGCCAACATTTATCATCATTTTAATCTATTTTGGTGGTCACCATGGTTTATGCTACTATTTTATGTTATGCTAGTATGCCACTATCCCCATAGGCCTACATGAAAAATACACTACTTTTAATGAACTTTTAAAGATAATCTCAATGGGATATTATGTTGCTATATCAAGTATCAAGTATATCCAGTAAAAGTGGATAAACACCAAAGAGAAAACATGATAAAGAACTATCATGGCAACACACGGTGTAGCCTATGTGTAGGCTATATGTTGTCTGTTGCCATAGGCTAAATGTTTTCCATTTCAAGACAAATTCAGATATAACGCCAAACAACTTGAGGAATGTTAGCAACATATTCGAGGGACTTTCACTACCGACTTGTACATGCTTGAATCACAGGCCGTTTTATGGGCCTATAAAGTGAATAAGCCCATTGAGTATTTTACGACGGCATTGCTCAGAAGTCCAAGAAAGGGAAAAGCTGGAAGAGCATCACTAAATGTTGTAAAGTTAACATATAGGCCTACATTTGACGTTTGATTCCTACAGCATTAAATTTGCTGATACATTCGAGGGATTATTCCACCACTTTATCTGAAGACACACTAGTTTTGTACTGGAGACCCACAGGACAAGGCTATAGACTAGGGCCATTGTATTATTGTCATTGCTTCAAGTTTATTGCTGACTGATAATGTGTTATCTGTTTTTATGTGTTGATTTGCAGATAACCCAGTGGCAAATTGGATTCACGCGCGTTCTACAAGGAAGAAGCGGTGCCCTTATTCAAAATACCAGACTCTCGAACTCGAAAAGGAGTTTTTGTTCAATATGTATCTAACCAGAGACCGTCGATACGAGGTGGCAAGAGTCCTCAACCTCACTGAGAGGCAGGTCAAAATATGGTTCCAGAACCGGCGGATGAAGATGAAGAAAATGAACAAGGAAAAAACCGACGCAAACAAAGAACAATAATAAAGGAATGGTTACAAAAACGGCAATGGACAAAAACAAAAATCAGACAACAGTAAAATAACCACTATTGCCTTGGACAACAACAAAGATAAACCAAAATACATTATGCTCCCTTCTTAATGTTGGATTTTGGGTTGGATTTAGTTTTTGTATTAACCCCACCTTCCATGTTTGATGCTGAATATTTGTTTGTTTCCTACGGGCACTTTTCTTTGTCCAGGTTTAAAAGAACCCCATTCTAAGAAAATAAAACATTCTGCACTTACTTTGAAGATACGTGTATGAGTTTCTTTGCATAAGGGACATTTTAATTAATTATATTTTGGACAAATTAAAAATGTAGGCCCCGAAGTAGGCCTATAAGAAAGAGAATACTTGAATTATTTTAACTTCTTCACTCCATAATTTATGATGTCCATGTGAATGTTTCTTCCGTGTTTGTTTATTTTCTGTGTTGTGGGTGTAGTAGCATATTTTGTACAGAAAGAGAACATCTGCCGTCTTAACAAAATGTCTGTCTTGTGTCTATGTGGTAACGTAACCGTTTGATGTACCTATTTGTGCATTTCATATTCAGTTGATTGTATAGGCACGTTTCATTCATTATAGAAGTGTAGATATAGGCCTACTCAAATATAAACATTATCACGAGGCTCTTGTGTTTTCTCTATTTATTTTAAGCCATGTCTCCAAACAAAACAAACTTAAATATGCATGCAATCTTACTACCAATTTAGATCCATATGTAGTACAGCATATTGCAACGTAAAGCACACATTTGTGGCGCGTCAAATAGCCAATGAATCGACAATGATGTCAACACAAAGGCACACAATCCGGATTTGTGTTAATCAGGAGAGAAATACCTGTATGAAATTCAATAGCCCAATTTCCCTGCACGTTGTGTGGAATATTGGAAGCAGATGGAACGTTTCCTAATCCTCGTTCTAGTATTTGCAGGCTAATCAGAATATTTAGACTATCACTCTTTAGACTACCAAGTGCGCCGATAAGAGGGTTATTTTTTCTCTCTCGAATAGGCCTATCTATATAAGTACGCCAACACCTCAATGCTGTTACTATGATTTAACAAAACTTTTGTTTTATATGGTGTTGTTTTGATACATATTATATTTTAATGCGTCAATTTAAGGTTACCACAGGCCACCACATCTATTCACAAATCTACCACAACTAGTTTGCATTGCACTGCGTAAACATCCAAGACAGCCTATAAATCAAAATGTAGTAGTAAAATGTGTTATAGAACAAATAGGAAACAGTCATTACTCATATTTTGGAAAATAAATATACATGTATTTCGTGATAAAAACCGCAGCGACAACTTCATATCAAAATATGGCCAATAAGCCTGTGTCATCACAGGTCTAGCCATATGTGTCACATGTAATAATTTATTTTCCTAAGCAAAAATACTAGCAGCTGCGTATGAAGATAATATTGTCTTTAACCTTTAACCATGTTTGAGGCACCTTTGCGTGTGCATGAAGCTAAGGAAGAAGTAGTTAGGCTAGCAGGAATTCTGAACAAATCTTGTAACAAGCGCTATAGGCATAGTTTAAACCAACTTCCTCATAAGCGAAAATAGATCATTAAAGAGAGAGTAATTACATTTACATTTTATACATTTAGCAGACGCTCTTATCCAGAGCGACTTACAGTTAGTGAGTGCATACATTTTTTTTTTTTCATACATAATTACAATTAATAAATTATAAGAAACGTATTTCGATCCATTCGTCTTATTTGAAAGGTACCGAAATTAAAGTTTTCTAATGTGAAAATAAATTCACATGTCTGGCATTTGTTGCCTGGGTTCTTGGCCTAAATTGCCCTTTTGTGGTGTTGAACAATATGGACAGGATGTTGTAATATCAAAGCCCAATCCAGTGTATTTCCGCACAGGACAGAAACGCTGCTTTTACAGCCCTGTTGGAGCTCGGTTGTTTGTCTCAAATACAGACGAACAAAGCAAACCCGACTAACTGGCTAGACGTCTGGGCTAAATTACTTTATGGTTTTAATGGTGGGACGGTGGGACGGTGGTTGATGGTGGACTCGTTCAAAGGGGACTTACTACAGCTAGTTTGTCTGTTGGGCCCACCGCAAACAAGCCTGCTGCCTTCCCCCTGGGCAGGTCTCTCTGAGCACGGGAGAGTGGGCTATTAGACCGCAAGAAGAGAGGAAAGCCAAAAGCAGTATAAATGCGTGGGACTATATAGTCTATTCGTTATCTTAAGACAATCCATATGGAGAGCATGTCAAAAACTATTCTGAGTGGGTCTACTGAAATAGAAGCAGATACAAAATGTTGGAGGCCCTATAAGGAAATTGTTTATTTGACAGATCGTAAAATACATTTTCAACACAAATTTGTGGTCGTATATTGATTATGTCTACTACTGCATTTATTTTTTCCCTCATGTAAACACGTCGATTTGATGATAGCATGCATGGTGCAGATGAATGTTGGTGATCGAACTCAACACTAGATGACACTGTTGACCGACTGTATTGCTGTGTGCTGCTGTTGCCTTGCATGGTGCAAAAATGGGGAGTGGGCTAGACCTATGCCTACAGGTCTACTGATGAAATAAATGCAGCTTTCGTATACGTATAAGCCTAGTATTTGTAGTTAACTAAAGCTGGTTTGTATACATGTTAATCAAATAGGCTTCACTGTTAGCACTGGGGCGGCAGGTAGCTTAGTGGGAAAGAGCGTTGTGCCAGTAACCGAAAGGTCGCTGGTTCTAATCCCCCAGCCGACTAGGTGAATTGCTCCTGTATGTCGCTCTGGATAAGAGCTTCATGAATAGGAGCTTACATTAGCCTAATCGATTAGGTTGGTTCTGCATATTTGCACCAACATTGATTGGCCAATTAACATTTGGACAAAAATTTGAAAACAACACATTTTTCACGTTAAGCGCAATTGAAATCACTTCTTTGCCACGGTTTTTACGGCAGTGGTGTGGTCTAGCTTTTCTCTGGAGAGGCGTGGACCTTGCACCATAAACCTTGTATCAGCCACCATATACTTAAGAGAATACCAGACATTTCCGTATAAAAACAATGTAGATCCTAATAATAACTAATGATAATAATAATAATATACTAATAGTTATTGTAATAATACTGTTATTATTAGCATTTATAGGCCTTCATCAGAAGCATAGTATTATAGCCTAATAGTAGCCTATCAAAGTAATGTTTTTGAGTCCTTTTCAGTGCTTTTGTTGTTGAAATAGCAATCAGCATATTTATAGACTGTGACAAGTCTGTAAATGTTCTCTGTGTGCCTTTCATATGTTACGATGATGTGTAAAAATCGTCAGTAACACCACAAAACCAACATGAGCGCATTCAGGGAGAGGCCATGCTACAACTAAGTTATACACAACTGAAATAAACATTGAGCTATTGATATCTCCGCTGAAATAATGAGACATCTAATGTAGTCTAATGTAACAATTTATTAATTGCACGTGGCAGATTTACTACTTTTGCTCATAGGTTTAACAGGGTCAGTAGAGTGAGTCGGGTATACAGGCCTTGTTTATATTTGCTCATGCCTGGGTTTCATGGCCTTCTATAGTTAAGTGCGCAAGGGACTGGCAAATCGCTTATAGTTAGTAGGCCTATAGCTCAAGTATGAAAACTAAGGGCTAATGTTGAGCGAGAAAGGTTAGACATTTAAATATTTTTGTGATTTTGTTAAAGATGCCAATATCATTATTCTATTCCATTATCACATTTGTAGTTATATGTGCTAGGCCTGGCCTACTCGCTAAAGTTATATAGGCCTTTATGTTTTGTTACCCTGTCATAAATAGCAGGCAGTATAGTGAGCCCTCAAGCAGTGCTATTGTGTATTTATGGTAGGCTGAGCTAACAGCTAACAGCATCCCTTTTAGACCATTATTTGATATAAGGAATGGCTCTCAAACTATATAATATACACGAGGTTACATATGAGGACTTTAAGAACAAAGCCTTTTTTAATGTATTTGTTATATGTGTGTAGCTTTACATGGGTGAACTGGACCAAAAACCGTCCCTGGCATTTCTAACAAACCGGCCCATTCTTTTCCCTTGAGCCCCACACACGTCCCATTCTTTTCTTCCAGGCCCCCACACCGGCCCATTATTTTCGTTGAGGCCCCCATTATTAGCCAGATAATAATAATTTTGCGCAAAAAACCTAAGTTATACAGGCCCACTGGGCTAAAAACGGACCAGCACGCTCCAGTAGCACTATGTATCATAGTAATTTGGCCACAAAGATAATTTGAGAGTTGATCATTTTCACATGGTGATCATATGCATCATATTGAGCTCCTTTTTCTTGTTGTAATAGAATGGTTAGTGCAGGTTGTCTATCATGGTGGGGGGGGGGGGGGGGGGGGGGGGGGGGGGGGTTGTTGAGAGGGAGGATTATGGTGGGGGTGGTTGGGTGGGAAGCTAAAAAAAAAAAAGAAGGAAAAAAAAGAGAGAAGCGCTTGTGACTGTGTCGGCGGAGCAAGCCAGCTATAACCTTAACACATTTCCAAAGCACACGCCATGAGCCGGATTTGAGGCTGAAAAAAGGAAACTACTGGAGATAGTGAGAAAGACTCGATGAGAAGAGTGTTGGAGCGCGAGAGAGCTGCCTGAGACTGTCTGTCCAAACGGGCAGCGTTTCTTCATCTAGTTCCGGTTTGTCTGTCTGCTCTGTGTGCGACTGGGAACCTAAACCAAAGGCTGCCACAATCCAAAACGGGGATATTCTACAACTAAGAAACCTTGTCTTGTTTAATGCAAACTAAACAATGAGCTCATATTTTGTTAACCCTCTTTTCTCCAAATTCAAAGGCGGCGAATCACTGGAGCCAACTTACTACGACTGCAGATTCCCACAAAGCGTTGCCCGTAGCCACACGCTGGTCTACGGACCCGGGGCAGCTGCATCGGGCTTTCAGCACCCTTCCCATCATGTCCAGGACTTTTTTCACCATGGGACCACGGGGATCTCCAATCCTGGATACCAACAGAACCCCTGCGCGCTGGCTTGCAATGGAGACGCAACGAAATTTTATGGCTATGAAGCTCTTCCGAGGCAACCGCTTTATGGTACCCAGCAAGAGGCAAGCCTCGCGCAATACCCAGACTCTAAATCCTCTAACGGCTCTAACCCCGGAGAAGGACAAGGCCACTTAAATCAGAACTCGTCTCCCAGTATTATGTTTCCTTGGATGAGACCCCACGGTTAGAATTATTTTGTGTACTTTCTTTCCCATATGTGCGAGTAACTATGTGTGTTTGTGCTCTGTGTGTGTTTGTGTGTGTGCTTGTGCGTGTGCCTGCGTGTGTAAAACCAAAATAAATAATAAGGAATTGAGAATGTAGCCCTTTATTTATTGCGTTTTAGTGCAGCAGAATATACAGGTCTATTGATTACATAGCTCTCGCGAGTATACACTATAAACATTAGTTATGTAATCTCATATCTTATATAAGGTAGTCTATAATATTAACAATAATAACCTTCTAACAAACAAATTAGGTAATAATAATGTAATAATAACCACACAAAAAAACATGTTGGCTAACTTGACAGAGGTATTGGTGATAAAGATAGTGTTTTGCTGGAGAATATCTGTAATGACAAAAAAGACAGAAATCCAGTTTAAAAAACGGTTATTTGAAGAACCTGAAGTACGACTTGTCCACATCCCCTGCTGTCCTAAATGAAATAGAATCCTACTAAATGAAGTGCCCAAATTGTTACAGTAACAATAAACGATTTGTAATGCAAATATCCTACTTTGCTTCTATAACGTCACTATTCTACATGCTATTCATCCCTTCACATGTCCTTGCCATAAAGCAAGCTAATAAGATGATGTAGGGTGTGATAGAATTGATAATTAAACACAACATGGACTATCGTTTCAAATGTTTTTAGTGTTATCTTAGAAAAATGTTTTAGGCCTAAAGATACTTCCTCCACAATCTGCAGAAGAATGTGTATCTATTGTGTGTGTGTGTGTGTGTGTGTGTGAGTGTGTGTGTGTGTGTGTGTGTGTGTGTAAGAGAGAGAGTGTGTGTGGTTGTGTGTGTGTGTGTGTGTGTGTGTGTGTGTGTGTGTGTGTGTGTGTGTGTGTGTGTGTGTGTGTGTGTGTGTGTGTGTGTGTGTGTGTGTGTGTATGTGTGTATGTGTGTGTGTGTAGTGCAGTTACCAGTTACATAATTGAAAAAGTAAATGTTAGGTTGTACTTTCAATGGAACATAGCTCAAAGCTAGACGGACTCCAAAGACAAATCATCATATTGTTTCATGGCCCCTTTTTCCTACTAAAGAAATTATATTTAATTTATACTACAAAAGAGTAGACATATGGGAATGTATTAGATTTAGATTAAAATATTAATGCCACCATCAAATTAACTCAGGAAAGTCCAGTCTGTGCCTTTCATTATGATGATCAAATTACTATAGTCCTAGTAGTAATATGTTAAAGACAATATCTAAGACATATAAGCTAACCTTATTTACTATTTCATTTAAGCACCAGGGAGGCGGAATGGAAGGCAAACCTACAGTCGTTACCAAACACTTGAACTGGAGAAGGAGTTTCTCTTCAACCCTTACCTTACACGCAAGCGGCGGATCGAGGTGTCCCATGCCCTGAGTCTCACGGAGAGGCAGGTCAAGATATGGTTTCAAAATCGGCGAATGAAGTGGAAAAAAGAAAACAACAAAGACAAGTTTCCCGGTCAAAGAGGAGAGGCGGATGCCGAGGCTGAGGCTGAGGCCGAGGAGGAGGGCAACGAGGACGGTGAAGGGGAAGAGGGGGAAGAGAAAGAAGCGGAAGAGGGGGAAGAGAAAGAGGAGACCAAGGAGTGATTTTATGGTATTTTTATGGTTATATGGCAGAAAAATAGAAAAAAGAGGAACCATATAAACGATGAATGGAGAGAAGGAGGCAGAGAGCGACAACTTCATGGACACTGTTTTATTAGTCAACAAGGGGAAGGGAAAAAAGATCCCACAGATATTGCTGGCATAATTATGTATGTATTTCTCCCTCTTCACGATGCGCTATATGGATACAAATGAGTTCTTTGTAGTTTTTTACTTTTCCTTACAACATTTACATTCGGCAATATTACATTTAGGAAAGGTAACTTATAAGTGATCTCTGTACGGGTTAACTTTAAACGCATGTTTAATGGAGTAGGTTATAGGCTACTTTTAGATAATTTAATTTATAACAAATCTGATTTGATGTAATCTCCTTACAAAAGCATTGTCAAACAAATACACATAGGCAGACAAGGCAAGGGTCCAACACAACTTAACCAATGCCAACTAATCCTGTAAATACAATCTAAATTCACAATGGACATCTTTGCGAAATAGCTGCGATTTAAAATCGTAAGGAAAATGTAACTAAACAATATGTTTAATGTTCAATGTCATGATAGCAGTGTGACTTCCGAGGAAATAACATTCACTAGGAGGCCCATATGTAAAACACGTTATTGTTATTTTCAGTTTTTTTTTTGTATTATACTTCATTGTCATTTGTGGTGAATGGCCAAGACAAGGATATTTAGTTCTTACTTCAGATATTATTTTGGTAGGATTACCAGGGACATGAGATCGTTTTAAATCCTTAATTAAGATGCTACCTAAACCTGGGGAAATTGCAATAGAGATTTCTAAATAGAGATTTCATATGATATTTGTTTTATAGTGTTATGTTAACGTTATATGATTAAGTTATGTATTATTTACCCAATATATACCTATGCTTGTTTAAGACAATTTGTGAGTCTTAGGAAGACAAAGTTAGCTCAAAGCCAAGTAGCCCATTTGGCAAGATTGTACCAGAGCACTACCTACTAAAACAGAGCTTTGCCTTTTACAGAATATGTATTCCATAATAATGGCACTGCTATGTTTAGATTAAAACCTATATTTCCCCCAACAACTAAAACTGCCTATAGAAAACGGACATGACTGTGTATGATAACAATACCTGCTACAATTAGCCTACAAGGATTTGGAGTGTTATTTTAATGTACTGGTGATAATAGCGTAGTTTTTATGCATTGACTATAATCTTAATGTACGTCTTGTTATATTATTGATGTGAACAGTATGCTCGTTTGCTGATGTTTCTCATGTGAAAGACCGAATTGTGTATCCCCGCCATTGTTGTTGACGTAAAAATACGAATAAACAAGATGGCTCACAATCCTTCCTCTTCTTTTATTTTTACGTCATTTAGCAGACGCTCTTATCCAGAGTGCATACACTTTCATAGTGGCCCCCCGTGGGAAACAACCCACAACCCTGGCGTTGCAAGCGCCATGCTCTACCAACTGAGCTACAGGGGACTTACGGCTGTAAGAACTTGTTGACTGAATGACTGAATGACTGAGTATGCCTAGGCTACTGTTTCTATACTGTCTGTCTACACTACAGCGAGCAGCCCACCATGTACATACTATATCTATACCCTCAACAGCATTTTAGATAAATGACATATGATCGATTGTTAGTGTGCCAATAGCCAATAGCCAATAGCCATTAGACATTAGATCTGATGCAACTATTGACACTCATGGTAACATTTGACTTGAAGTTCCACTTGCAGCCTAGCATATTACTCCATAGTATGCTACTTTGATCACCAGAAGCTTCTCAGTGTCACAGGGCGACTGCAGAAGTTAGGCTACATGGAATGCAATAGGATCCCACACCTGTCTTGTTCCACAGTGTAATGGAGGAAACAGACAAGTCTGCACCACATTAGTCACTGGTATAATTACAAAGTTGTTACATATAGTTACAATGTTATCACCACAGCAATTGAAATGACCAGTTACTATGCAGTTTGTGGCTACTAAATGTGACCCACGTAATACAATGATTTGATAGATTCGCAAAATGATTTAGAAATACATCACTCATATTACAAATTGTTTTGAGAGCTAGTTTTCCAGTACCATGTACAATCAGATTTGTTGTTTTACAGGTCTGTTGGAGACAGTCAACAATCTCAAAACAATTGACCTAATGCTATTGATATCAGTTGAAGCTATATCAATGAGTAACTATGTCCTGTTCAAAAGCAATCACACTATTTAATGACAAGTTGACATTTTATCTTTGGTGTGACCTTATATAAAGTACATCCCTGAAATGAATTATGAGGCACAATACTAGCTTTTTAAGGATAAGGAGCGCCTCTTGTATCATTCATATTAATTCTGGTAATGAGTAAATGGTAAAGTTGGCTTCAGGGGGGATTACAATGGACAAAGGCATGGGCCTGTTTCCCTGCACCCCCTCTCTTCCCAGCCATGTTGCAGCTGCAGCAGAACATGTCATATAGTGGATGACCATTAGGCGGTGCAAGCCAGTGGTTTGGCCAATGATGCCTATCTGTACACATTCATACATCACTTAAAAGAAAAGAAGAACACTTATGCACACTGCACTTGACAGTATCCTTTATTTATTGAGGTTAAATATCGTCCACGGCCTCAAAGCCTTCGTCAGAGCATTCATATAGATAAACATTACATACATGTATACATACCTACACACACTATGTATACAAAAGTATGTGGACACCCCTTCAAATTAGTGGATTCGGCTATTTCGGCCACACACGTTGCTGACAGGTGTTTAAAGTCGAGCGCATAGCCATGCGATCTCCATAGACAAACATTGGCAGTTGAATGGCCTTACTGAAGAGCTCAGTGACTTTCAACGTGGCACCGTCATAGGATGCCACCTTTCCAACAAGTCAGTTTGTAAAATGTCTGCCCTGCTATAGCTGTCCGGGTCAACTGTACAGTAAGTGCTGTTATTGTGAAGTGGAAACGTCTAGCAGCAACAACGGCTCCGCCGTGAAGTGGTAGGCCACACAAGCTCACAGAACGGGACCACCAAGTGCTGAAACGCATAGCGCATAAAAATCGTCTGTCCTTGGTTGCAACACTCACTACCGAGTTCTAAACTGCCTCTGGAAGCAACGTCAGCACAATAACTATTAGTCGGGAGCTTCATGAAATGGGTTTCCATGGCCGAGCAGCCGCACACAAGCCGAAGATCACCATGTGCGATGCCAAGCGTAGGCAGCAGTGGTGTAAAGCTCGCCACCATTGGACTCTGGAGCAGTGGAAATGTGTTCTCTGGAGTGATGAATCCAGTGGCGGTCGGTTTCCTATTTTAGCATATTGGATGACTGTCATTCATATTCCATTCATCCAGTTCAATGTAACATCGATAGGTTTAGGCTACTACATGATACTTTAATTTCCCCTATACCCATCATGAGGTTGCTACAACCTAGCCTATGAATGAAAGTTTACAACATAGGTGCACACAGGTCAGAAGAAACATTTGAGTAGATAATTTGTTCATCAGTGTACTGGTTCATCAGAGACGGAAATTCTTATTTTGCTCTGTTCCCATCCCCCCACGGACACAAACACAGACACAAACACACCACAAATTGGGAAGAGCACAGGGTCAGCTGCAGTGTAGCATGCCAGGAGATAGGTAGGGGTTACGTACCTTGCTCAAGGGCACAACGGCAGCCAATTGTTGCTTGGTTTCACGTTGCAAGTTCAGCTCTCCTATTGCCAGGCCCGGGATTCAAACCTTTGGGCTACCATCATTGTGTATGCATGGGGTGAATGGGTCATATAAAACTGCAGTGTTGGAGATAACAACAACAACAACAGGAGAAGTCTGTTTCTTCTTGAGAGATTAGAGCTCCCATATCTTGAAGAGAGATTTCTTTAAGATGATTTTTGTTTACTATGAGTAAATCTGGTAATGTGTCTAATATATTTGCTGTCGTACACTGTTGTTCACCTGCCTTGCTCAAATTTTCTAAAAGAAAGATGAAAGCACTTTCGCAGAGCTAGGTTTTCAATTTTCTTAGCAATGTCCCAAGGCAAACTATCGTAGGGCGGTGTGACTAGAACACACACATACACACACACATACACACACACAGACACATACATACACCAGTGGAGGCTCCTCAGAGGAGGAAGGGGGGGACCTTTTTAGTGACATGTGAAACATAAAAAAGTTATCCTTTATAGATAAAACTACATTAAATATATTCACATGTCGCCAAATAACTGATTAAAACACACTGTTTTGCAATGAAGGTCTACAGTAACCTCAACAGCACAATGGTGTAGCCAGAAGACAGCTATATTCCTTCTTCCTCTGGGTACATTGACTTCAATAGAAACCTAGCAGGCTTGTGATTCTCACCCCCTTCCATAGACTTACACAGTAATTATGACAACTTCTGGAGGACATGCTCCAACCTATCAGAGCTCTTGCAGCATGAACTAACATCTTGTCCATCTAGTACTGAAAGCATAAGCTACAGCTAACTAGCACTGCAGTGCATAAAGCAGTTTCCCAAACTCTGTCCGGGGGACCCCAAGTTTTTGTTTTTGCCCTAGCACTACACTGCTGATTCAAATAATCAAAGCTTAATGTTGAGTTGATTATTTGAGTCAGCTGAGTAGTGCTAGGGCATAAATCAAACCGAGTTTGGGAAACACTGGCATAAAATGAGAGAGAATGATAATGGTTGAACAGATTTGAACAAAATAATTTATTCCAAAATTAAGGAGAAGCAGCAAAGAGAGAGAGAGAAAGAGCTAGCTATATTTTGTTGTGTTTTTATCTTTCTTAGTTTACCGTTCACTTACTTAGCTAATGTTAGCTAGCTGTCTAACCAACACTGCAACTCTTCCAAGTCAAGGTAAGCGTTCGGTTTTATTAATGTATTGCCATCAGGGCCCGCCGGTGTAACTGCTAAACTGTTTGCTGTACACTGTACTGCATGATTGTAC